CCTGGGCTCCACACCCTCTCACCAGCTCAGCAGGCTCACAGGGGGACCCCTGCTTCCGGCCCCAAGGTGGGCCTCCAGGGCACAGGGGCCCCTGTGCCTCCCAGACCCCATTCAGAGTCCCTCCCAGCCCACCTCCTGCCTGACCCCCCACCCCCAGCACTTCGCAGCCATTGTCTGACGATGAATAACCCTTCGGAGTGGGCTTCCGGGGGTGTGGACAAGCGTTTGGGCCTTGCACGCTGTGTTCCATTACCAGCACCGTGCCGGACAGCAGGGCAGGCCACGCACACCGCCGCGGCTCCGCAGGGAAGTGATGACGCAGCACCCCGCAAGGCAGCCATCTGCCAGGCCTCCCCCAGGCAGGGCCAGCCCTGGCGCCCGCTCACAACAGGCACCGAGGAGGCAGCGTGCTCGGGAGGAGCTCGGGTTCTGCAAGCTGGCCCTCGCTCAGAGTCCCTGCGTCCCCCTCCCCTGGTCAGCTGTGTGACTGGTGGCAGGTCCTCTCTAAACTGCTGATTCACCACACACCCTGCCCAGGTGCCAGGCACGTGGTAACTCAGGCCACCTGTGCAGGGCCTGTCACGGCCTGGGGCTCAGTGAGAAGTGGGCCCTTTTCCCTCCCTGTCCTCCTGACTCCAGGTGCGGTTGGCACCCTGTTCAGGTTTCAGAGCTGCCCGAGACGCGGCCTGCCAACCCCCAGACTTGCCCTCCCCTTCCATCGGCCGCGGGACCGTGCCCTGAGCCTGCTGAGCCTCGGCGTCCTTCACGTGCCCTGTGAGCGGGACCCAGTGGGCCCGCGGAGCACCCTCTCCGCACCCTCCACGCCGTGCCTGGTGTCCAGCGCAGGTTCCCGGAGCTAGCTCGGATCACCCAGTGACCTGGGAGCTGCCTCTGTCTACCTAGGGTGACCGTGGGTGGGGCAGGCAGTGCCCCCACCCCATCCCTCCCCCTGCCTCGGCCCACCCACATCTGCCTCAGGATGGGAGTCACCTTTGGTGGGTCCCATGAGCCACTGGTCCCTGAGAAGCCTCTCCAGGCTGGCCCAGTGGCCTTCTGGGGCAGGGGTAAGTGACCAAGGCATCCCACTGTGCGCTCTGTGGTGTGCTTCCCAACTTCTCCCCTCCCCATCCCTTCCCTCTCCTCCCCTCCCTCCCATGGCACTCAGAGGGAGACCTCTTGGGAGCAGGCTTGGTGAGATGTGTGGCAGATGCTCCAGGCTGTCGTGGGAGCGTGTGCTCCCAGCTCTGTCTCCTGGGATGAACCCCCCCCTCCCCGTCTCCAGCAAGGGGAGAGTGCGAGCCAGGGAGGTCTGGGCAGGGCGGGGCAGCCCAGGCTTGGCCTGGGGGTGATAAGGGTGAAAGAGGAACGTGGAAGCAGCTGCTTTCTGCAGACCAGAGCACGCCCAGCATGCAAGCCTGCCGCGATGAGCAGGGTGGCTGGGCTGGAACGGCGGGGGTGTCTGTAGGCCTGTCTGACAGCCCTGGTCCCAGGGAGCAAGGTTCCATCCTGTGGTCATCACTGAACAACTGCTGGACGCCAGGCCCTCCTTGGTCGGAGACACAGGAGGGTCACAGACAAGGCCCTGCCCTGCAGGTCCGCATGCTAGCTGGGACCTGTGAACGTGGAGGGCATCCCAGGCAGGAAGAAGGACCTTCTCTTAGAAGGGGCTGGAGAGAGAGGGTACACATCAGACCGAGGCCTCACCAGGACCTGAGGTGGAAGCTGAGACCTTGTGGCCGGAAGGAACTGGCATGGCCAATCCCTAGGCAGAGCTGGCCAGGCCCGGGCAGAGCAGGCAAAGCCTCGTAGCTGCACAGGCCGGATGAGGTCGGAAACAGAAGACACTCGAGAGGCCCAGGAGGCAGGACATAGCGCTCGGGCTGGGGAAGAGCCAGCCAGCGGTGTGGGATCTCGTGGGCTGCTTTAGGTCCAGTGGTGCCATGAATGCATCCTGGCAGAGGGGGCCGTGAACCAGTTAGCACCTCTGGGGGCACCAGCTGGTGCACAGAGGGCTAGCACAGGGTGAGAGACAGCAGCGAGGTGGTCTGAGGGATATCTCCAGGGTGACCACAGGAGAGCTGGCTGGGGCTCGCCCCAGGCAGTGGGACCAGCCAGGGCGTGCTCCGAAGGCAAAGATCATGGATCCCCTCTCGGTTGGGGCTGGCGCAGCTGGGTGGGCAGTGATGCCGTTCATCGAGAAGGGGGCCAGGCCACCAGTCTGTCCTGTCTACAGCTCACCGGGCGCTTGGGGCCGAGAAGTACCTGTGGGAGTCACTGGTCTAGGGACAGCTTCGAGCTTGTCCAGGTGAAACCGCCGAGATGCAGGCGGAAAAGAGTTAAAGGAACGATCCTACCCAGGATCAGAAGAGGGGGACTAGCAGATGGCATAGTGATTATGTGGCTGGGCTCCCACATGGCCGACCATAGTTCGACTCCTGGACCCGCTGGCTTGAAACTTACACCAGGCACGTGTGTGTGAGTGCCCAAGATCCCAGAAGGAGAATGGAGGAGAAGGGACTGCAGGGTAGCCATCCCCCCTGGGGGTGACTTCTCACTTTCCCTCTCGTTGTCTCTGTCTGTCTCCTCGGCAAGTGTACATGCCCTAGGGCAGGAAATCTCTTAAGAAGAGGAGAAGCATGGTTGGTGAGGTCAGAGACCAGGAGAGGGCTGTGTCCCTGGTGGCAAGAGAAGAGTGGGTCCAGAAAAACCCGCCATCCCAACTCTCCATGGCACTGTCAGCGTTCCCTGGGTTCTCGGGGACACGGGGAGGCCTTGGCACCCACCTCTCCTCCCTACCCCTGGCCTAACGCTCACACCCTCCCAGCCCGTCCTCACGTGAGAGCGCCATCCCGGCCCTCCGGCTGCGCTGGCCCGGTCCCTGGAGAGCGCTGCCTGGCAGCGGCTCAGCTGTCGGCCCCTGTCATGGAGACGGCAGCAGCTGCAGGCGACGGGCACTCGTGGCCACTTGTCAGAACGCTCCCCTTCCTGCCCGGCCTGCCCTCCTGCAGCATTTCTGTCCCACGCCCCGGAGACCGGGCTCATCCAGGGCTGGGGGGGCCGGGAGGGGACAGGAAACACTGAGTTCTACAGGACCACCACTACCCAGCCTTTGGCTCGAGGCAGCCTGGCCAGACTCCCCTGCGTGGGCTGGCTGCCATCCCTGCCCAGAGGCTGCAGCCCCAGGTTCCAGGTTCCAGACACCAGCTGCACCTCCATGGGCCATCTGTCTTCACAGCCGCCCTCTCAGTTCTCATTCCCATTTTACAGATAGGAATGCCAGGCCAGGAGTTCACGTGGCTGGGGGCTGGGAGTGCCAGGCTCTGCGGCCTTCGCCACCCACCTAACTTGGGAGCCACCGGGGAGTAACAGAGCCCTCAGGACTGCGGCAGACAAGGCGTCCCCTCGTCCGTCCGTGTGTCCATAGCCTCCCGTGGTTCCCTCCGTGCCTCAGCCTTGTTTCGGTTTCTGTCCCACTTTCTTGCCCCAGCCTGCCAGTTCCCGTGGGGGCTAGCTGGAGACGGCGCCCTGTGGTTTGGCCTCTCCGTTACCAAGTGCCCTGGGAGTGTTCTGGGGCCGGGGGTGGGAAGGAATCTTCCAGGCCAGGGCTGGTATTCAGGGGGAAGCAGGAAGCTTCCCTGATAACGCGAGTTCAGTGACCTGGGAGGGCCGGGCGTGTTTCAGGCCCTGTTGCTCCAAATGGTCCTCAGGCCTCCAGTCTATCTGGGGAGGCCTCGCTCAGGCAGGGACGAGGAGTCAGGGACAGACACCGGCCCCAGACATGGGATGGCCGAGTGCCCCTCAGGAGGACACATGTCACACACCCACCTCGCCAGCCGTCGCTCCGTCCTGCCGTCCTGCCGTCCTGCCTTCCTCTGGGTTTGCAGAGGCTTCAGGATCCCTGCGACCCCCGGCAGGAAGGCCTGCCCCAAGGGGAGCCTTTGCTTGGGTGGCCTTGGGATACTCCACCCACGAGGCCAGTCGGCTTCTGCTGAGCCTCTCAAGATCCTGGTCGCTGTCAACACCACCTTGCCCCGGGATCCTAGAAAAGTCTGTCTTTTATTCTCTGGGCTCCATTTCCTCTCTTATAACACAGAGAATCCTTCCCACAGAGCCGTCGTCGGCCTCGCCAGGCCCTTACTAGACAGACGGGGTGGGAAGGGGACATGGCTGAGGGGCCCGAACGAGCCCTGCCCCGGCTCAGGCCCTTCACCTCCTCACACCAGTGCTGCCTCCCCTGTGACAGCTTGGGTGTCATCCAGGGCCATGCATTTCCCAGTGCCTGCCTAGCCCCTGCTATCTGCAGGATCACTCCAGGCAGGGGCGCAGGGCGGGATATGCCACGGGACCAGCACGCGTCTTCACCTTGGGGGCATCTTCATGAGCTGGAGGGAGCGGGGACGGTGCACAGAGACTAGTGTATGGAGAATGCAGATGGAAGCGAGCCTCATCACAAGAAACCGAGCCTGGGGAGGGGCAGGAGTGCCATGGCCTGAGGGCAGGGGCAGGGTAGGGGGCTTGCTGGTATCTGTGGGCGCTCAGGAAGGTAGCTCAGGGCCACTGAGATGTCACCGGTAGCCAGAGGCCCAGTGCTTCTCTTGGGTGGAGAGGGGTGAGGGGCACATACAGCCTATGGGGCTTGGGCTGCTGAGCCAGGGTGGGCAGGGTTGGGGGACGTGGAGTTGGGGTCCCGCGCCAGCCCCAGGAAGGAGCAGGCTTCCTAGGACACTGAGAACCCAGGGAGCAACCCACGCTGTCCCGAGGTTTCCAGGATGGCCTGAGCCAGGACCGCCACCGTCTTT